CCACAGCGTGGTGACATTGAAAAAAAAAACAAAAATCGGAATGACCTACAAAATAGCAAAAGAAAATGCTTATTTTGGCTGGTTGAATTTTTTTTTTTTGTTTTTTATTAAAAAAAAATATTATTCTTGAAAAAAAAATTTCGAAAAAATTATAGGGAGTTACCCTTCGATGTCCCCCACCCTCCTATAAAAACAAATATCTACCCCCCCCGCCCAAAAAAAAAAAAAAAAACATACCGTTCTCCGTGAACTCCATGAACTCCCGTGAACGTGAACGCTGTGAACTCTATGACCAGCTCCGTTCACAGACCTCGTGAACGGTGAACGGGGGTACGGCAATGATTAAAGCCAAGTAACCCCTCCTCCCAAATTCCCACATTTCCCTCTGTAAACCCATGTTACCGCTCCCCAGACATTCCCGCACACACCCCTAGACATGTTACCCCTCCCCAGACATTCCCACATGGTTACCTCAATGAAGACAGTACAACAAACCGAAATACACAAACACAAAAGCCATAGTAAGAAAAAAACTGAACAATGAAAAATTTAATATGAAGTAACCAAAGTAACTAAAAAAAGTGGAAGCATGGTATAATACATGAAATCTCAGTGGAAGCACGGAGTCACACAGTAGTGTCAATATGAAGAAAAAAAAAAAAAAGTAAACAAGAGGAAATATTATAAAAAAAGAATAACTAAAAAATAAAACCAAAAAAACAAGAAGAAGAATGAAACCTATGAAACTCTAAATGAAGAAAGATACACGCAAACATCATCGGCGCAAAATCGAAGTCCAAGTCTACGGCGCATTGCACTGCCCGTCGTTTGTGTCACCATCGTCGATGATGCACTCTCGCCGCCTTTGGGGCACCTTCGCCGCCGTCTCCTCTCGCTCCCCTGGATGCTATGACGCAGACACGGCATGACTGGCAACTGCTCTGGCTGCCACCCTCTCTGCCTCCTGGACCTCCGCGTCTCTCTCAACACCCCCTCCAATAGAACGTCCCAAAACGCCAGTCAGAGTCGTGTATGTCTTCCTACCCCTAGGCATGGGCACCCCATCCGTCGCGGAATCCTCCATGCGGCCCCCAACAGCTCGACGACTGCCCGGTCCTGTACCTGTCTGACGTCGCGGCTCCTCATCCAGTATCCTGTGTGCAGTAGAAATACAACCTCCATGGCTCGTCTGCAAAGTGACAAGATCAGGGTCATCTTCCACCAATGTTGGGGGTGGTCGGGCACCTGGCAAAGCATGTGTGGAAGATCGCCCTTTCGGACGTCGATGACCATCTCGCTGTGCCGCACCTGTTGTGGGCGGTCGTGACGGCGGTGCAACCATCGTGCTGCCCCGTCGATCTCCAGCACACGACGACCCGGCACCAGGATGCTCCAACCTATCTCCCTTCCGTACCCACCCTGCTGCATCCGCAAACATCTCTGTCAACCTCCCCTCATGATCCCTCCTCTCACCCGTGACCCCAGGCATAGCATCCTTGAGTTTGCGGGTGACCTTGCTGATGCCGCTCCACGATACGGACTTCCCCTTCGCCTTCGATGAAGGTGATGGAGAACCCTGCACTTGCCCGCGCCCTCTTGCCGTCAACGGCACAGCAGAACCCTCTCCCCAACCAACTCTCCCGCCCGAAAGGCCTGACCGTCTGCCAACAACTGCGGGACCACCTCCCCCGCCCACAACACTGCCACCAGACTCACCTCCCCGTCCACTCACCGCCCCTGCACATGCTGGTCGTGTCCCTGCAGCAACTGGCCTTGCTCCCCATGATACCCCTCCCGGCTCGATAACCCTCTGACCTGTCAACTGCTCGAACAAGTCGGCCATCTCCATAGTCTTCCCAATATCCCCCGATACCCCCGAGGGTGCTGGCGGACTAACAGGCACGAAAGAAGATGGAGGCACAACCTTCCAAAGCCTCTTCGATATATGCCTGCTCCTGCCCATCACTGAATCAATCCCAGCAGTGTGGCGCTCGAGTGGGGACATGCTGGGCACGTGTGCCTCTACAGGGTGTGCAACAACGTCCCCGAGGTCCAGCTGTCGCTCCTCGTTGCGATGTGCAACCATAGCATCCACCGTGGCAGGACCATCCTGAGTGTGATCTGCGACCACATCCTCCATTGCGGCAACCGCAACGCCGACAAGTGCTCTATCCACCTGCCCCTCCACCTCCGTGCCATCGCACCCAAGCAACCCCCCTGCGTATGTCGTGGCCGCGCCGTCGCCCCCGTCCGCCTCATCAGTAGTGGGTAGTACCGTGTCGCTGGCCCCACGTAAACCACCCAACCCTACCCTCGCGTCCTCCTGGTGGTCGTACGCACGATCCACCACGTGTCCCTCTGTGCAGAGTCCTCCACCATCTGCAACATCTGCAGGACCATCGTGTCTACACTCTGCTGCTAGTCTGGCGGCAGTGACCTCCTCTACACTACACCCCATCTCCCTCGCCCTCGTCGTGTCCTGCTCCAACGCAAGCCGTTGTGTCGTGGCACACCCTGACACCATCCGTGCCAAACGCTCCTCCTCAAGCACGTCCTCGGGGTCCATATGTAGCCTCCTGGCAACATGACCGACGTTGTCACCAGTCCTGCCCTCCTGTATCTCGCCTAACGCTCTGGCAGCCTCTGTCAACAAACCTGAACTTAGCACCACCAAAAACCAACCCTATGAGGTGTGCGACTTCGCTCACCGGTGTCTGAACACGCACCCCGCCACGCCGAGCATCTGAAGTGGGTGGACGTCCAAGGCCGAAGCCGTCACTGAAAATGCGTGAGGGAATCGATCCTTGCGGTACCTCCAAACCAAATCCATGTCCGCCACTACCGCCTTCGCCCGTTGCACTGGGGCCAGGAGTAACAAGAAAGGCGCCACCCGCTCCGTCCTCAATCGGCCCACTGTCGTCACCGCCTTCGAATCCATGCTCGTCCCCATGTCCTTTGTCCCCGTCGGGTCCCTCTCTCTCGACGTCGGAGTCCTCGTCATCGGCGGCATCGCCGTCGTCAGACCTGTCACCTCCCTCGTCCTCGCTTGACGATCACACAACCTGTGTCTGCTTGCGCCCTCTATCCGTCGCACTCCTAGTCAAGGGAGGGGTCATGCGATCAACATCACAATGGCTCTGCCGATCCCGCGAATGCATATCACTGGCAACCTCATGATCACTCTCTCCGCCGGACTCGTCACCAATATCAGGTGTGTCACTGCCTCTCTGCTCCAAGTCCTCCGGGTTCGTCCAGGGCTCTACCTCCATCTCGTCTGTAGCATGCGGGTCCGTGGGTGGAGCATACTCGATCTCCTCGTGGTACAGCTCGATATGAGTTGCACGACGACCAAACACAGTCTGAACCGCAGGGGGGTGGCGAACCGTCGAGGCACTCTGCATCCTGCGCACCTGGCACGCGATCTCCTCGTCCGTCAATGACCCCGGTGGCAGAGTGCCAGATCTGCGCGGCTCCGGGACGTCGTCCAACCCCTCCTCAAGATCACCCCACGGCAGAACAAGTCCCCTCCTCCTCTGTCTACACGCCAGGAGCTTCTTGTTCGCGCACATCTCCACCATTTCAGTCAGCTTCGTGAAGTCCAACCCGTTGCGGCGCTTCTCGTGGATACACTCGTGCAACGCCCAGTTCCTCTCCGCAGGAGAGGCGCAGAACCACGTGTACATCCGACGCGTGGCGATGACACAAAGCTCAGGGGCACAGCTGCCGTGCAAAACCCACCAATCAGCAATGGCGTGTGTCTCATCCGGCCCCTCGCACGTGTCCTCGTCTCCAGTGCCTGCATCTCCACCCCAATCATACCTCGGCCCGCGCGCGTGGAAGTCGTACAACTGTTGAAGGACCAACCTGTACCTGTCTCCCTGCCGGTCGAAGCCCGTTTGCGTGTAGATGTACTCAAGTGTCATCTCCGCCACCTTCTTCTGCTGATCGCTGCGCCTTGGAGACTGGAAGTAAACGAAGTTCCGCGTCTTGGGATTGAGAAGATGGGCGGCAGCATGGGCGGGCTCGAGCAGATGACATGCATGAGCGTAACAATCCTGCACCATGCCGACCAGGCGAGGTCTTGTCGACTCCAACTTTCGAATCTCCTCGGCCAACTGGGTCACCCACCGGAAGATGCAAGAAATCACCAAACCCCCCTGGTCCAACATCCTCAACAACTGCACGACCGGGGTGAAGACGTCGATGAGATCATCCATCTCCTCCCAAAACAGCCCGCATCGCACCTGTGTGCGCACCCACCCGACCTGCCCGAGCAGCCTCCTCTCCCATGGAAGTCGCGCCCAATCCCCTTCCAACATCATCGTCTCAAGTGGAACCCTGCGGTCGCGCAACCTCTCCATCATGATGTACATAGACGCGAATCGCGTCTGACAGGGGTACAACAACTCTTGGCTGCGTCGTGGTCTGCCTACTGTCCCCTCTCCGCCCGCGGCGCTGCCACCCAAACGGTCCGCACGTGCATTGCGATCGGCCCTCGCGCTGTAACTCCTGAACAACGCGAGAGCCGATCCGTGACATCTAATGAATCGGGCAACTGCCCTCGCCCAGGTCAACAAGTCGATGGCCCATGTCTTATCCTTGACCATGTCTGACAACATCAAGTTGCAGCAATGGACAGAACAAGGGAGCCAAGGGATGCGACGGATATCTGGATCGGGATCGTTGCGAAGCGCTCGACCAGCGGCGACATAAATTGATGCAGAGTCCGTGCAGATGGCGTTGATGTTCTTCACGCTGAACTTCTCGAACACGTTCTTCCAGTGCTGCAAGACGACGTCTGACGTCTCTGCGTCAACCCCTTCCATGCGCACCGCCGTGAAAAGGAAGGTGCCTGACTGTCCTGCTGCCAGGAAGTTCACGATGGGCTCAGAGTTCAGGGACTTCCTCCCATCCGTGAGGATGGTAGCCCCTGTGTGCTGCATTTGCTCGCGTATGTCACGTAGCTTATCAGCTATGTACGCACGCTCCTCCTGTATGCCACTGCCTGCTATGCGCTTGAACTGGGGCAAAGTAGGCTTCATGCCCCGGGGCATGTTCTGCAAATGTCTCGTGAGGGCCCTGTACTCGGGCATCCTCGCCCTCTCAAATGAGACACCGCCAATATACCACCACTGCAGGAAGAGATGGTCGAAGGTGGCCTGCCACTCCGGGTCGTACATCTCATCCAGTTTGACCTGCTTCAAACGTTTCGGGTCCGGCACGCATGCCGCAGGAGCGGTGTCCGCCCTCCTCTTCCCACGACCATCCATAAGCGCGCGAGTCCTTGTCTGATGAGCAGTGCGTCGTGCCTTCAATGATCCCCCCTGAAGGGACGCTCCTAACTCCTGAACATTGTCCTCACCGCCGTCCTCCGTCGATCCCTCGCCCCCACCCTCCACCCCTGTGTCCATCTCATCGTCCTCGCGGCCACACTGTCCTTCCTCGCTGTCCGCCCCCTCCCTGTCCAAAACATCCTGCACCTCGTCATCCTCCGGCACTCCAACTCCCACCTCTCTGTTATTCCGGATGCCACGATACTCCATGTAATCCCGCACTTGTCTCTCTCGCCGCTGGTCGAAAGGGTACTGTGTGGTATTCCAAATGTCGACGAGGACCTCTGGTGTCACCTTGGGGCACCTACCCTTCGTGAAGTGCTCAGCACCCCGCACCTGACTGCCCTCGAAAGGTGGTTTGTCGCAGAAGCGGCACTTCATCTTGAAGTTGCCCTTGCAACTCTCCTGCGTCTGACCCTTCATAAAGTACTTGAATATGCAGCACCAGCGAATATCCTTGCGCTGGTCGTCGTTCTTGACCGGCACAAAGGCCTCCTTGGCGCCCTCCCCTTCCCCCTTTTTCCTTTTCCCTGCTATCCCCTCCCCCTTTTTCTTTTTGCCTGTCATATCCAACCCCCCCCCCCTGAATTGTGTCCCGATGGGCCGCCAGTTGCCTGGGGTGCCCTGCCCGAAAGGACCCGCGCCGGGAACCGTCGACGGGCCGCTACCTCAACGTTCACACGCGCCGTTCACAATTTCGTTCACCCACGTGAACGGGCGTGAACGGCGATGTGACCGGCTCTCTCTCTCTCTCTCTCTCTCTCTCTCTCTCTCTCTCTCTCTC